TTCCCCTTCCCCTTTTCTTTCCCCTTCGAACCCAAGCATTGGGTTCGGTCGAACCCAGTGTGCCTGGGTTCCTTCGAACCTAGCAACTGGGTTCCAAGGAACCCAACACAGCTGGGTTCGATGGAACCTAGGCGCGGGTTCCTTCAAACCCAAGCGTTGGGTTTGATGGAACCCAGGCCCCGGTTCTTTCAAACCCATGCGCATGGTTCCTTGGAACCCAAGGTTTTTGGGTTTGAGTTTTTTTTTTTTTTTTTTTTTTTGGTTTTGTTGATTGACGATGATGAAGATGAAGAATTGATTAATGAGGAAGGCAAGGTAAGGAAGTGGAAGGAGAAAGAAAAGGTGCTGATAGGTTTGATTGAACCCAGGTGATGGGTTCCTTTGAACCCAACATGCTTGGGTTTGAAAGAATCCATGAGCAAAAAATTTTTAAATAAAATTTTGTTTTTTTGGTGAGTTTTATTGTTTGATGATGATGATGATGATGAACCCAATAAAAGTAGAAATTGGTTGAAATGAATAGATTGGTTGATATGTTACAAATTGGTTGAGATCTTAGGGTTTGCAGAGGGTTTGCAGAAGTTGAAGAAAGGTTAGATGGAAGAGAGGAAGGGAAAAAAAAATTTTTTTTGGGTGGGATGAGTTGGAATGGCAGTTTCATTTATTTTTGCCAACTTGGCAATTTTTTGTGTGACGTGTAATGTTTCTTCTGTATTTGGCTGTCAATTAACATGAAAAATTAACGGAAGGAACAAATCGGGGTAAAAATGGTAAATAATAGGACCAAATTAGGGATTTTTTAAGTTTAGGGACGAAATTAAAGGTTTATACAATAGTTTAGGGACCAAAATGAAGTTTTGACCTTCATTTTTTCTAAATCCCCAAAGTTAAAAATTTAGGTGGCCTAGAATAAAATCCTCTTTAATCAAGTCCTCCCTTCCCCAATTATATATATATGTTATTGTTATTTCAAAATTATTAAATTCCATGTAAGCCTTTGAAAGAATCTAAATGCTTAGAAAAATCTAATATTTTTTTATACATTAAATGGTTAGCTACTAGTTAATACAGAAATTTGAATCTCTAATCTTGATATCAAACTAAGGTTTTTAAGTTATTGATACCAATTTAGTTAAACATTTGTTGGTAGAAAAATCTAGAACTGTTACGCCCTATAACCCAAATCCGAGGATGTGACAGACGCCATGCAACCTTACAAAAGGATGATAAAATCCAAAACTTATACCCCATTTGAATGGCTAGCCTTCTAACTCGTCACTCCCCTTGGTTTCTCCGTCCTCAGTTTCACTTCCTGAAATGGTAGACAAGGAAAACTATGAGATAACTCAATAAGTAAATATGGATAGTCCTTGGGTAAAACTTTTAAGCATGCCAGATAAATAGTTTAATATAGCCAAACGCTCAATGACAAAATCAGAATCGGTTCAATAACAAAACGTTTCATGACAAATCGTTAATGCAGAAGAAAATTCAGTTCAGTTGTCTCATCTATAAGTTATGGCCAGCGTTTATAAACCTCCCACTGGTGGGCACAATAGTTACCAATGTTTAACCCCATTGGCAAGGTTACAGAAGTACCAGTGTTTAACAACTCCCACTGGCAGGCGTCAGTAATGATACCAGTGTTTACAACTCCCACTGGCAAGCGACAGTAATTACCAATGTATTCGCCCATTGGCAGGCATCAGTAGTACCAATGTTTACAACTCCCACTGGCAGGCGACAGTAATTACCAATGTATTATCCCATTGGCAGGATGAACCGGTTCTATCAATAAACATGTCGACATGTGCTAGCGTTTATAAACCTCCCACTAACGGGCACAGTAATCATGACTATATCAGAGACAAAACCATGCAGGATTTACAGAAAAACCCGAATTTCACAATCAATCTCAAATTTCAGAACAAACCGAAAAATTTCCATGTGGGCATGGATTTAACAGAAAACTCAACATTTACAAAATTCTCAGTTCACCAAAGCAGTTCAGTCAATTTCCAAATAGGCATGCTCAACTCCAGAAAAACAATGAAATTCTCATTTTCATTTCAATCATGCTCAATTCCAGATAATCAATAAAATCCTCAGTTTCATTCCAATCATGCTCAATTCCAGGAAACAATAATTTTCATAAAAATCATCACAATTTCCATTTCAGTTTAATCACATTCAGATACTGATAAAATCAATTTAAAATTAATTTAAAATCAATTTAAAATTAATTTAAAATCAATTTAAATCTTGCCACCATCTCAAAAACAATTTAAAACATGCTTTGAAATAGAAGGGCTTTACCATAATTTACTTACCTCACTGGCACAAAACAGAAGGCTAACCCAAGTGCTACGATAACAGAACGATCAAAACCTAATCACAATATTCCACAATTAATAACCATACCACCACAAATTTACAGTGAAATCATCTTTAGCACTATCCCCAATCACAGTGCTATTTCTATCAATCTCCACATGACCGGACATCTCCAAATTCATTCTTATATCACAAACTAAACCTTTAAATCCCCGTTAATCGTTGACCCTCGGTGTGTGAACAGTGCCTATGAACAGTACACGTGAACAGTAACCACGATGTGAACAGTAACTCCAACTTCCAAAATTGGCCAAAACACTAGCTAATTCACGGGATTTTTCTCCAAAATCACCGCAACCCAATTCAAGCTAATTTACACTTAAACCAAGCTTAAAAACATAACTTAATCTACCAAAATTTTCCCATTTCTCACGGCAGCACAGGGAGAGCATAACTTTGGCAAATCACAATTCACAAACACGGGATTTTCACACAAAACATCACAGCAGTTAATTCAAGCTAAATTCTACTTAATCAAGCTTAAAACACATTTAAAATGCTACTAAATGCTACCGGAATTCCTCCCCATTTCCGGCACAATTCGGACA